TGTAGGCTACCTTGAACCATTTCCACCGTTCATCGGAACAGTCATCCTCAACTGGGGTAGGTGACGCGGCTAGAACGGTGTAAAGGCGGATTACCGCATCAAGTACACGATTAAAGTACTTGCTTACAGTTCTACCTGATCTCGTAAAATCAAACTTTAAGGTGACGTTCTTCTTGTGATGTGCAAGGATTGAAAGAAACATAGCAACTTGTTCACTCGGTGCGACGTTTCTGGATTGAACAAGACCCCCTAAATTTTCAAGGAGGAAACAAAGGCGACCAAAACAGTCTCTGTCCATACGGAGGTTCTCAAGGCAAGTGGTGTCGCTGACGTCGACTAGCCTTTGCATGTGACCCACTTGAAGTGGCACTCTATCCCTCAATCGGTATGTTCGTCCGCTAGTCAACGAACGTCGACGGCGGCGAGGGAGTATGAATTTGTGGTAGTAGTAACTAGCTACTATGAAAAAAAAACGAGCACCAAGAACAATCTCTTCCAAAAGGGTGAGAATTAGTAATTTGTCTCGCACGTTAGCCATCTACAAAGAGTGAAAAACATTCGGACTTCACCCCACAACTGGTAAATTACTATGATTTTCAAATGGTGTAAATTAGAGTGAGACACGAGCACTCAAAATGCATTGATGACAACTTAGGACTTAAATGACACAAAAAAGTGCAAAAAGCCATAAGCAATACAAGAACATAATAGTAATATATGAAATAAGGGCACTGTACCTAAAGAAAAGTTTATGTAGAAGAAGCAACGGGGACTGGATGCTTTCCGCGTCGAATGTTGACTGAACCTTACAAGAAATTGACTTTAATGTTAGTAAAACTTATTTGTTTGGTTTCTTTATTAAAGCATGCATATGCATGTATACGCATATAAACACACAAACACATTACAAACATAAGAAATATCCCTAGTATCGTACAGGTTGAAAATCATAAAGAATTATGAGCACGTCCTACACCCGCCACTTACTATATCAGATTAATGAACAAGAAGCTTACACAGTTTAAATAGTAAATACTCATATTGGTAATGGAATTTCACACCAAAAACTACCAAAGTGCAATGATGCAAATATTGAACAAGCTGAAAATCATATGAACTCACTTGGCCATATTATTATAAATATGAATTTGAGATAATTTGTAAGAAACTCATATAGTTCTCATAATAAATATATGTGCAATTAAATACCAATAAGGGTAACCAATAAACACACAAACACATTACAAACACATTACAGAAACAGGAAAATATATGTGCATGTGCAATGTAATACCAATAAGAATATCTCACAAGCTGAAAATAAGTAATATATGCTTGTGTATGCATATAAACACACAAACACATTACAAACACAGTCTCTATCCATAATATTCAACACCTGCCAATTACTATATCAGATTAAAGAACAAAATGATACATAGTTTAAATAGTAAATACACATACCCCTGTTGGAAGGTCACAACAGAAACAGCCAAAGTGCAATGATGCAAATATTAATGAAGCTGAAAATCATATCAACTCACTTGGCCCTATTATTATTAAACTGAAGTTGAGATCATTTATTAAAAACTCATAGAGGGAATTTAGGGTTTAAGAATCTGGTTGCTTTTAATGGATCCCTCATTGCTAAACAGCTTTGGAGAATCATTACCCAACCAAACCTCTTGTTAAGCAAAGTTCTTAAGGGTAGGTATTTTTTTTGAGGTGAGGAAAAAGAATAATGACTCTTGGCTTTGGAGTAGTCTGTGAGAGAGAAATTTAAGAAGGGAGTGAGATATCAAATAGGAGATGGGACTTCATTGTCTATATTAGATTCTCCTTGGGTGACCTGCCTTCTTTTAAACCTTTTTGTGTTTGTTAGAGTGACAGGTCTAGCTTACTAAAGTGAGTGATTTATTGTTAGATAGTGGTAGAGGGTGGCATAGAGAGCTAATAGCACAAACTTTCTCTCCTTTTGAAGCTGCTGAAATCCTCAAAATTCAGCTTAGCCTCTTTAGGAGGAAAGATAGATTAGTGTTGTGTTTGGAAAAAAAAGGGTAACTTCACTGTAAAATCTGCTTATGCAAATTTCAAAGTTATTGGCATAGGTAATGCAGAGACAACCAGTTCCAGTAATGGAAATTTTTAAGCCAAATTGATGTTGAGACAGACCTGGAAACTGAATATCCAGCCCAAGATTAAAAACTTCATGTGGAGGCTCATCAATGGTGTTCTGAGTATTATGCAACAACTACTGAGAAAGAGAGGTGCTGAGAATACAATTTGTAACCTTTGTGGAGAGGAACCAGAGAGTATAAACCATCTTTTTGTTCAGTGCCCAAGGAGTTCAAAAAATAGAATTTCAACTTCTTGAACTGGAAGTAGGACATAGAATTTCAAAAAATAGAATTTCAAAAAATAGAATTGTGTGTCAGCATGAGGACTCATAGGAAGTAGGACATAGTGGCAGTGTCTGTGTGCTTACTTTGGAGGATTTGAAAGGCTAAGAACAACACAGTCTTCAGAGGAGATAGCTTTCAAGAAGAAGAAGTGGTAGCTGGGGCTAAGAGTGATTGGCTGGAATTTGAGGGTCAGGACCTTATCAATTAGCAAACTGGTAATTCTCATCTGGTCATGGAGAATTTGAGAAGGTTTTTCTAATACTATGCCTGCCAGTAAGGATAATTTAATAGCCTGCCATCTATAAAAAACAAACAATTTCTGTGGATAATTTAATAGCACAGTACAAACACATTTTAGTGTATCCCAGACAAGAAATAATCAACCACAAATTAAATGTTATATGGACTATAGCAGAAGTTTTTATTTACAAGGGTGAATGAGCCCTTTTATGTCTTGTTCATGAAACCACATGGAACAATGCATTAAACATGTAAAATAATGTATGAAAATTGAAAGTTTTTTCAGTATGCTAACAGACACCCATGGGTCCTGCACAATTAAACCAACAAAACATGGCATAAGACACCCATTTTTCTTTCTCCTTACTTAGGCCACAAGTTCAGTAGTGAGAGCAGAATGCATTTATCAACAGCACACCACGTATCTAACCAACACACATTGATTCATTTCATATGACTACTGAGTTCCTAAAATTAAAAATTTCAGCTCTGACACTCAAGCATAAACTCACCTATATCAACATTATAATATACTGCAGAAAATCATCTCATAAGGTCACACAATTTGAAATAATCTCAATTCTACTTTAGTTCCACAAAGTACAATCAATCACATGATGCTGAGTATAACATTATCTCAGGATGCTCTGGAAACAAACTTACATAACAATTCTATCAAAAGCACATAAAACAATACCGATTTATCTATTCTTTTCTTGAAATTAAACATCACACTTTTAATGCCTTATGCCTTATGAACTGGAAGTAGCACCTCTGGAGGACTAAGCCAATTAACAGCATAATAACCACCAAAAAAAATTCAGCACCTCTCAACAAAGGCCACGGCTTAATTATCAACACATAACAGCAGACTCAACAATACAAAAAAAACTAAAGCAACCAACACAGTGGCGAGTTTTCTTTAATCAAGCTCAACCTTAAATGAACCTTAAACGAGTTCACCCAAGAACAACAAACAAAAAATGAACTTTGATTTAAAAAAAGAAAAATAAAAGAAATACAATGTAAGTGAAGTCGGCAAAGACGAAAAATACACAAGTGAATGTAAAATAGATGGGTCCTGTAAAATACAGAAGTCGGCAAAGTCGACAATGCCGGAGTCGGCAAACCCGAAAAATACACAACTGAAGTCGGTGGGAATGTAAAATTCATTACCTACGCCGTCGACGCCAACAAAGCCTCCGTCAGATCCACGACAAACGACTGCTCCACCACCAAAATTTTGCGAAAAAAAAAAAAAAAAATTCAGAATCACTATCAAGTGAATCTGAAAATTAAGCATGAAATATGTCGATTTTTTAGTTTACCTGGCTTCCTGAGGGATCTTCTCAGAATTTCGACGTTCTACAAATGCACGCCGCGCAGCAACAACCTAGGGCAAAAGTCGATGTTTTGAGAGTTTATCTGGTGATCAGTCGTAAATTCTTGCAAACCTAAGGGTACTAGCGTCACTTTGTGTTGATTTCTGAGGGCAAGATGGGCATAGAAAATGAGGGATTATTTAATCTTAGGGGGAGGGTGGGATTAATATTATCAGAAAGTGGAGGATACAAAAATGACACATGGGCGCCACGTGTGTGCTGTCCCATCCCAATCTGTTGAAGTAAATGAAGGATAGTGGGGGACTAGACTCCTTATCCTATCCTAACCCTCAAAGTAAACGAGGCCTAAATATTTTATTAATGACTATTATTTACATACATATGTTATTTATAATTTATTTAATATTACTACTCATGCATCGCACGAGCTATAGCCAACGTAATTATCGATAAACCTATAACAATACAATTCTGAAAGAATTATTAAAAACTTGAAATTTAGAACTGTTCAAATATTTATTTACTTATTTAAAAAATATATCATTTGCAAGTATTGTGCAATAATCAATTTTAATAAATTTAATGATATACTTTCAAAGAAGTATTAGAAAAAATTAGATAATAATCTTTATGTTTACCTTTTAAGATAAAAACTTGAATCCTCCACATATTATTTTCCTTCAATATACAAGTGTTTACAAAGATGAAATGACAAACTTCTCCAGGTGTAGACCAAATTACTACGGAACATACATCTAGAAGAAAAATAAAAGAAAAAGATTTTGATTTGCTTTGCCATGAAGCGTTTTTCTAGTTTGAGGTGAAAGAGAGAGAAAAGAAGAAAGTTACTGAATAGTAGCAGCTTAGTATATATTGCTTCAAAGGTTGTTAACCATGATTGCGCACATTGTACCACTCTACTTGCATTCTACTCAACAATTCTTTCATTCATATCTTCACCCCCTCTCAGTCTAACCACCTACATGCGTGCGTCTGTTTTTCACACACACAGAGAGAGAGAGAGAGAGAGAGAGAGATGGCATGTTTTGAAAGGGCTTCACCTGCAGTGAAGGAAATTCTTCTCAAAATACACAGGTATTGATTTGTCTAATTATTGTGTCTATCTATACTTCTCAAAACGGATTGCTTGCATGCATCGGCCATGAAAGAAGATATATATCGCATGACCTGTTTGACAAAACTTGGATTTTTTGACAGAGCCGATAGGCCCATGGAGATAGATCAGCACGTGCACGAATTTGGATCCATACACTACCATCTTCGGGTATATTAAATAGCAATGCCTATACACTCATATTTCTTAACACTCATCATGTATTGTCAGCTCATGTTTAACTTTCCCATCCTAACAGTGTTCAGCATCAGATCCAACATACACTTATTTGTCAGTGTCAACACCTCTTCTATCTCAAAGCCTCCCGCTCTCATCACTACTTCCACAGTATAGTCTAGATATGGTTAGACAAATTTGCCCTCAAGTTATCGAGACTGTTGAGCCTCCAGAAGAAGGTTACCAGCTAACGTTGAAGCTCAACTTCTCAAAAATCCCACATGGTAAAGGTAGCTCAAATCATTCATGCCTTGCCTACTTTTTTCTCTACTCTGTAGTCAAACATTAGATTCGAAAATGAGTCACCAGAAAGGATAACCAAGTTTATGTAGTTATGCTTAACCCTTTTTTGTAATCAACACACAGTATACTTGACACCAATTAGAAGATATAACTAATTTTTTGTATTTGTATGAATTTTTCCAGTGTCCACAAAGATAATCACAGACATATCCTCGGTTCAAGCAGTAATCCTCAGCTCCCAACTCAAAGACATTTTAAAGAAAGTTGATTCACATGAAAATTCTCAAGAAACGTACAAACCAATCAAACTCATCTATCATCCTAGGGAACCATTCTTCATCATCAAACAGGTAAAGCTTTCATCAGTACCTGGACATTTGATGAAACAATTGCTTCTTCAAGATAACAGAAACGATACATCATAGAATATGCCCATGAAAAACATATAAATCAATGGCATATTGAAACAAAGCAATATATATATATAAATGTTTACGAAATAATTTATTTCAATAGACTTACCAAATGTGGATTAATCCCTCGACAGCCCATGAAAACTACTGCAATATTCCCGATGCGTTTCAAGGAAAATGAAGATGTAATTATTGCTACAGCCTTCTTTCAGGTAACTCGATCTGCCTGTAGTAAATTTGGGTCCTTCTGCCATAAGTCATGATTTTTATGTGCATCTGACTTGGAGTTTTATCATTTATACTTTAGGAACTTCATGATATAGGAAGTTCGGAGGCATATCCCAAAGCTCCACATTGCACGTGGTCTCCTATTCCACCTCTGGAGTTAAGGGGAGAGCCTATTGAAGACCTGAGCACCAATTGTGGATTTGTATCTTTTGGTACGCATTACAATCCCATTATTATATGCATGACTCTGCATATAATACCGCCCTTCACTTTCAGTTTCAGCATACTTTAAATAAAGAAAGAAAGAAAGTAAAATTTAAAAAATACAAAAAGTAAAAACTCTTTTAATAATAAAGTCACCCTGATATTTGCTGGTATTAACAGCACACTATTTGGAGGGAGTGTTAACAATATAATACTAATGTCATATTTTTCTAGACGAAAGATAAATGGGGATTTTTGATAATTTAGCTAGACCTTGGACTTGGAGGTAGTAATTTAGCCTTTAGTATTAATCACCTCATTGGCCAAATCGACAAGAACTTTTTTTTTTTTTTTTTTTNCAGATATCACATCGCGCCATGTGAAAGGCAAGAAGCTAGACAAGACTGTGTGGAACCTACTCAATTTCTATGCATTGGTTAAATATCATGTAAAGGTAAAGAATCCTCAGAGGCTATACACTTAATAGACATTTTAGACTATATCCTCAAAGCTAATTTACTCTAAACCAGAGCACGAGAGGCTTTATCCAAAGAAGGATGAGAACACGTCTCGAACGGTTGGTTCAGGTAATCAAAATCCATATCTACAACTGAAGTATGACAAATAGCCAGACTGAAAATAGTGTACCTGAAGTTACAACTCTCCTAATTCTGCAAGTCTGGAATCATTTTAGTAAAGGTAAGTGCATTAATATGCTAATCTGCTCATGTTACAGCATTTGGAAGATGTGGAAATTGAAGAGGATCAACCGAAGAAAAAGAAGGCCCGAGGTATGCAAATAATTGTTTTTTTTTTAAACAAATGTTATGTTACATGTGAACAATAAATCATGCTCAAGATATTTATTCTGATGCAGGATGGAAACGATTGAGAAAATGGATACGTGCCTCAAAAACAAAAATACTCAAAAGAAAGTATGACCTCACAAATAAAATCAAGAGAATCCGTTCAAGAATCAAGATACATTTTTTCAGCCGTTTCCGAAGAGGATGGCTGAGAATGCCTAAATTTTCTCCGGTGACGAGGTATATAAAACTTGAGTGAATAGCTTCTAGTTCTTTTAGTTTTATTAACTTTATATACAATGATGTTTGGCAATGCCAATAGTTTTAACTCAGTACCAAGTTGTATAACTGGACTTCGACTGTTGTTCCTAAGGAGAGGCTATTACTTAGAATGCAATAAGGTGAACGAAAAGATTGAAGCAGAGAGCTCCTTTCAAGATCCCACCTTTTTTATTTCTTCTTTATATTATAGCTTGCACATTAGCCATGGAAAACAATTTGAAATATCTAAATTGATTAAATCTAGCTGGTAGTCAATTTGAGAAAATAACTTCCCGCCTGATGGAATATTTTTTAGATTATGCACGAATATACGACCGCTGTTGAGGAAAAAGTTGAAAAGAAAAACAGTTTTCCCAAATATATAAAAAATAAAGGATATTCAAGTTTGGTTACATTGTTCCACAGACAAGAAAATAAGTAAATTCAAACAACACATTTTCTTTTTCAGACGAAAACAATTTCTTCCAAGTATACTCTCGAAAACTAAAACAAACCATGAAGGTGCTGCATGTCACAAGCTCAATGTCCTTACTCCAAAATAACAAGATTTGGATAAAATTTATGTCACAAATCTAGTATGAAGCAAATATAGTTTCACTCCAATTGGCTACTGTAGTTAAAGTGCAATGCAAAGCACCGACCCAAGGGTCATAACAAAACGCAATGTGGACATATTTTGCGAGATGCGCCTAATTGTTGTGTGCAACCATAAATAACCAATATTTGAAGTGGGACTTAGGCACACTTCAGACTGAATCTCATGACTGCCATGGTATCTAGTTAAAAGAAAAGGGGAAAAAAAATTAAAGCACTTTCACATGCATTAAGTATTGAAGCTATAAATTTTCTGCAAAACGCAACCATGCTAACTAACATTGTATACTTGAAACTCTATCAGCCATAAAAGTGGATTANAGAGAGTACAAGTAATGGCTTAAATAATCTAATGATAACACAGTCGGAACAAGCGATCCTCTAAAGGATCTTATCTCAAACAAGATAATCAATACTTTTGCGACAACAGTGTGAGTCTGCCCAAGAGAGTAGTGCGACATTATTCATAGGGAAAAAAAAAATGGAACTTTAGAGTGTGAGGTTTGAAGGTCTTATTACCAGAGATCTGAGTTTTAGCGATGTGATCGGACTCGTGACCTCTGCAGTACGCCATCGGAGCAAAAATGGGCGGGCACGCTGACTGGCCTATTCCCACACCGACGGGCTTGGGCCTTCATTGGCTCAACGTGGGGAGCAGCCCATTCTTAAGTTCGCACAGCGCATCCCAATCGCTACGCAGGTCGGAGACAGAGAAGCCCATCCTTTCAGTTTTTCTTTTTTTTTTTACTTTTGAGAAAATTACTCCCCAACGACCACACAACACTTTTTGCAATCCTACGGTCAATAAAGACTTTAGCAAATGTACCATGTATTGTTATTTTAAGGGTGATACTATTCACCGCCCCCCTTTTACTAGTCACCGCCCCCCTTGGACAATTTTGCCCTTCTCATTTTTTCTAAACATCTCAGAGGAAAGTGTACGGTGAAATGTCGTCAAATTCGGAGGTACGAAAAAATACGTGTACGGTCGCCGGTTCCGGACGGTCTAAAAGCCGTCCGGACGCCGGTTCCGGACGGTCCTTAAACCGTCCGGACCGGCCGGCCGGACGACATAAAAACCGGCCGGAAAGCACGGCCGGACGGACCGCTGCCGTCCGAACCGGCCGGCCGGACGGCAAGAAAGCCGTCCGGAAACGACGGCCGGTCGGAACCGGTCCGTCCGGTTCGGCCGGCCGGCCGGATTTTTTTTTTTTTTTTTTTTTTTTTTTTTTTTTTTTTT